CTTCGCCGCAACCTCCATTCTCCTCCAGCCAGTGGTGTATTTAGGATCTGTGCTGCCCTAGGACACCCTCCCCACCCCCCAATTTAATTTTTTTCCACCCCTTCCTGTCAAAGCCGCACTTTGACTGACAGACGCTCACTCACAGACAGACGCACACTCACTGACAGACACACACACTCACTGATAGATGCATACACTCATTGACAGACACACACTCTCATATACACTGACAAACAGTGACATACACACACTCACTGATTTGACACACTGATAGACAGACATACACTTACTCGGACAAACATTCACTGACAGATGCACACTCTCACTGACAGACACACGCATTTACTGACCGACACACACACACATTCACTGACAGACACACACTCACTGACAGACACACACACTCACTCAAATTCACTGACACACACACTCACTGACAGACACATACACTCACTCAAATTCACTGACACACACACTCACATTCACTGACAGACACTCACTCACATACACTGACACACACTCACTCACATTCACTGACATACACACACATTTCCCCCACTCACAATTATTATTAAAAAAAATTTAAATTGAATTCCACCCAACCTCCCTAGTTTTGGGATAGCTGGGTGGATATTTAACTTAAGATCCAGTGGGGCTGCTGGGCAGGGAGGCGGCCGGATGTGCGAGCGCGGCGGGCGGGCGGATGTCATATTCCAGCTCCCGGCATTACTGCTGGTCACACAAGGGAGCTGAGCAGAGAGAGCTCATGGGAAAGAGCTCCCTCACCGCCGGCCCGGCGGAGCCCAAAGGTGGCCAGCCGGCCAGCTCCTGGGCTCCCATAAAATGAGGCAATCAAGGTATTTGCCTGGGCATTTGGGGGTGGTGTTTTTTGCCGGCCCCTGGAAATTGCCGCCCAAGGCAAATGCCTTATTTGCCTTGTGGTAGACACATCCCTGCCCCCAGCCCCATGGCTGGGGGCAGGGATGTGTCTACCACAAACACACTGACAAAGTGCCAGGAGAAAATTCCTATCGCCATGGTGATCTGGCACCTGGGATTTGTTGAGTCTTGATTTAATCTATTAGATTAATATACCCATGTAACTAAAAAGTTATTGTTCGGTTGTGGGAGAATAACATGATCTAACTAACTAACAGGAGAAGAAAACAGTATAGGCATATACAGGGAGTGCAGAATTATTAGGCAAGTTGTATTTTTGAGGATTAATTTTATTATTGAACAACAACCATGTTCTCAATGAACCCAAAAAACTCATGTTTTTCTTGAAGGATGCAGACTTCTTCCTGTACCACTGCTTGAAGAAGGTGTCTTCCAGGAACTGGCAGTAGGACTGGGAGTTGAGCTTGACTCCATCCTCAACCCGAAAAGGCCCCACAAGCTCATCTTTGATGATACCAGCCCAAACCAGTACTCCACCTCCACCTTGCTGGCGTCTGAGTCGGACTGGAGCTCTCTGCCCTTTACCAATCCAGCCACGGGCCCATCCATCTGGCCCATCAAGACTCACTCTCATTTCATCAGTCCATAAAACCTTAGAAAAATCAGTCTTGAGATATTTCTTGGCCCAGTCTTGACGTTTCAGCTTGTGTGTCTTGTTCAGTGGTGGTCGTCTTTCAGCCTTTCTTACCTTGGCCATGTCTCTGAGTATTGCACACCTTGTGCTTTTGGGCACTCCAGTGATGTTGCAGCTCTGAAATATGGCCAAACTGGTGGCAAGTGGCATCGCGGCAGCTGCACGCTTGACTTTTCTCAGTTCATGGGCAGTTATTTTGCGCCTTGGTTTTTCCACACGCTTCTTGCGACCCTGTTGACTATTTTGAATGAAACGCTGATTGTTCGATGATCACGCTTCAGAAGCTTTGCAATTTTAAGAGTGCTGCATCCCTCTGCAAGATATCTCACTATTTTTGACTTTTCTGAGCCTGTCAAGTCCTTCTTTTGACCCATTTTGCCAAAGGAAAGGAAGTTGCCTAATAATTATGCACACCTGATATAGGGTGTTGATGTCATTAGACCACACCCCTTCTCATTACAGAGATGCACATCACCTAATATGCTTAATTGGTAGTAGGCTTTCAAGCCTATACAGCTTGGAGTAAGACAACATGCATAAAGAGGATGATGTGGTCAAAATACTAATTTGCCTAATAATTCTGCACTCCCTGTAGTTAAAAGAAAACAAACATATTTTAATTTAAATTTCTTATTCATTAAAAGTTAACAGGACTAAGTTTAACATTATGAAAAATGTACAGTTGTTGCTTTATTATATTCTATTCCCATAAACATATAAAAAGGATAACTTCAGAATAATCTAAGTTAAACAAATTAAAAATATATATACATATATATATATATATATATATATACTTATATACAGAAAATCAAACTAATTATTTTTAAAATTTATTCATCAAGTTTCAACATGCAATAGTAAACAAATTTTAATTCATTTTTAAAATACTTACGTTTTAAAAATCACGATTATTGAGCTTCTCAAGGGAGGTGTACTCCTTGTTTTAGTCCTCCTGAGAGAATTTTATTGGACAGGTTGGGTGATACATTGTGTGGCGAACAGAACCTCGACACGTGCTTTTGGAGGAGCCTACTTGCCCACCTCTTGCCTCAGAACTATGGGCCCTGCAATATACCTTGCCCAATGCACTTTAAAAGGCTCCATTCATATGATTTATGTACTTTTGTGTTCCAGAGAGAGAGACCGACCGTTAGCCCTGATTCCCTGGAACTGTTTTGGGCATAGGACCATGTGCACGGTCGGTCAAAATTATGACTTTCATGGAAACCCTGAACCGATTTTTGGATATGTTGGTCCTCCAGATCAGGGGATGTGACTTTTGTGGGGTTTCCATGTGTTTTGGGGGTACTTTTGGGGATTGTTCAAATGTATGTTTTCTGTGCCTGGAGATAATTGAGTTTAATACAGTGCTTGACTCAATTATCTCCCAGCCACAGAGGAGGGATTATCTTGTTTTATGTGGGAGTGTCCTGGACCTGAGAGCCACTGTAATCGTGTGTATGTTTTTTCTGTAGTGTACTCTCAGGTCCAGGAGGGAGTGCCTCTTGCATGGGGACCTGCATATAAGGCCAGTTGTGGCTGCCAATAAAGGAATTACTGCTTACCCTCAATATAGAGTCTCATCTCATGTGTGAGGGGGAACGGCTGTATCACTCTTGGGATTGCTATTTCACTATACTCCCCTCGGATTATAATCACTTGCTCTTTTAAGAGCATATTGCTGCACTCTCTTGGAGGAGAGGTCTACACACTGGAAGCTGGATCCTGGTCTTGAGTCCAGGGTTGATGGAGGACAGAGAGACCCCAGGCAAGCTGTAATGCTGGAAGTGGGGGCTACAGTGCTGATGGTGTCTGGTGGAGTGCTTGGAAGTACTCGGTAAGCACTAGGAAGCAGCGATTGGCGGAGGCACCCACATTGAGCACATGCACTTTGCCCAAAATGGATTGACCTGCAGATGGGAGTAGTAACGCACACTCCCAGGCAGCCTGCGAGGAATGGGCTCTCACATATAAGAGGTGGCTGGTAAACACATATACACAAAGGCAAAGACTGGCTGTGCATGGGTGGGAGAGAGAGAAACACTGGCTGTGCGTGGTTGGGAGAGAAACACACTGGCTGTGAGTGGATTGGAGAGAGACACACTCACTTTGAGTGGGTGGGAGAGAGACACACTCGCTGTGAGTGGGTTGGAGAGAGACACTTGCTGTGAGTGGGTGGGAGAGAGACACACTGGCTGTGCATGGGTGAGAGAGAGACACAGTCACTGTGAGTTGGTGGGAGAGAGACACACTCGCTGTGAGTGGGTACGAGAGACACACTTGCACTCGCTGTGAGTGGGAGGGGGAGAGACACACTCGCTGTGAGTGGGTGGGGGAGAGACACACTCACTGTGAGTGGATGGGAGAGAGCAGAGCCAGCCCAAGAAGTCAAGAATGAAATGCTGCCCTCCCCCCCCAAAGAAAGCTTTGCGCACATCCATTATGTTATGCAGTGTGTGCAGTGAATGCAATGTCAGTGAAGGAGATGCAGTGTGTGTATAGTGAATGCATTGTGTACGTGTGTATAGTGGATGCAGTGTGTGTGTGTAGTGGATGCAATGTCTGTATGTGTAGTGAATGTAGTGCAGTGGGATTGGATAAGGGCTGTGAGGGGAGAGTAGTTTTTTATATATTTATATTAATTTTGTTTTTTTAACCCCTCCCTGCCTCTTACCTGTTTCAGGGTGAGGAGCACACTAGATTCCCTGGTGGTTCGGTGGTTCCTGTGAAGAAGGTGGAAAAAAGAACACATTAAGGAATTCAGGTCCCAGATGGGAAAAAATAATTTTTAGTCAGGGGCAGGGCCGTCTTTAATACTGATTGGACCCTGGGCAAAACATTTGCTTGGGCCCCCTGGACGTTGTACACCCTCCCCAGGCATGCAATCACGTTATAAGCCTTAACGCAGTGGCAACCTAAAGTAGAGAGGTGCAAGAATATTTTTTTGGGCCTCCCTATTGCAAGGATGTTTAAAAGGTATCTGTCGTGCAACTCCAGCAATGCTTTGGCACTAAGCAGTTTTTGTGTGTTTCAATGTAAACAGGTTTTTGTATGGAATATGTTTGTATGTGGTGTTGGCGTTTAATTGTAAGCATGTATTTATGTGTAGTGTTGGGTTTTTTTAATGAAGGGGTGTGTATACACAGACGTGTATTTGTATGTTGTGCTGAAGCTTGAATGCAGGGGTGTATTTGTGTGTAGTGTTAGCGTGTGAATGTTGAGATGTATGCACATATACACACACAAACACACATGTACATATGCACACACACTGACACACAAATACACAAACTGACACATAGATACACAACCTGACACACATTCAGATACACAGACACACATACTAATAACATACAGATACACATACTGACAACATACAGATACACCGAAACACACAAAGACAACATACAGATACACATCCTGGCATACACAAATATTCAAACACTGACACACATATACACACCTGACACATTTGCAGATACACAGATACACACACATATATACACACTGACACACACACATATACACACAATGACCACATATAGATACACACACAGATATACAGACACATAGAGACAGACAAACTGACACACAAACATACACTGATAGACATACTTACACAGAAACATAAACTGACAGACATATTGACACATAGACAGACAGATATATACTGACACACAGACATACTGACACACTGACAGACATGCTGACACATTCACCAACACACCCACCGACATACTGACACAAAGAGCCATACTGATACAGACATGCACACAATGACATACATATGGACACACACAGACACACCCACATATACTGACAGACATATTGACACACATTCACGGGGACACACACAGGCATACTGACACGCTGACATATACACTGACAGACATATTGACACACACATATACTAAGACATACTGACATACATTCAAAGGCATACTGACACACACACACACTGACAGACATACTGACACACACTGGCAGGCATACTGACACATACACTGACAGACATACTGACATATAGACATACTGAGACATTCACAGATACACACACACATACTCACAAAATTTACACTATTAAACCCACCCTCCAGTTTCCTACCTAGGAGGATGGCGTTCCCACTGGTGGCTGAAGCTGCTGGCAGTTGGGGTCTGGCTAGCTCGGCCCAGACCCCCTCAACTCTGACTCTTCCTCCTCCCACGTGGCTCCTCTCTTTATGGGAGGAAGTGACATGCGGCCGTCACTTCCTCCCAGCCGGCTGCCGAAAAGAAAGAGGGGGTGTGCATGGGCCACCCAGGGGGCCTCCTTAGTGTGCGGCTGCACAGGCGGGTGGGAGAAATGCTTGAGGCCAGCGGGGCCCATGGTGCAGCTGCTTCGGGCCACAGAGGAGTAACTAGGCCCGGGGCAGCTGCCCCGTTTGCCCTGCAGTAAAGATGGCCCTGATAGTAACCTACTATTCAAAAAATACCTGCTTATTTGTAAATGAGGTTTATACTATGTAGGAAGAACTATAAGACCAGCACATATTAGGTGGGAGGAGTGTGACGAAGTGCCCTTCGCCATTTGTGCCTGGAGGGGACTACTGGCTAGCCTCCTGCCTATGGCCCCTGTGCTGATAGCTGCAGAAAGGTTTATTTGTGCCCTGCAGAAAGGTTTATTTTTGTATTTCTGCCAAGGCGTTCGGGACTTTCAGTATGTGAGTAGTGCTACCCCAGATAGCTAGGCCATGGAGCCTATTTGTGTAACAAAAGACTATGGAAAAGACTTTGGCTCCATGGCGATTGAACTGTATGTATGTGATCTGAGCGCCATTCGGTAATAATGTGCACTCAGATCTAACTATCTGGGGATATGTTGCATGTATATGTTTTATGTAGTAATTTGTATTTTTGTAACCATGTGATTAATGGAGTCTTGCCTCTGTCCTGGGAGATAATTTGATTACTTCCTAATTATCTCCAGGATAGAGAGGAGGGATTGTGATGTCACTGTGGGAGTGTTTTGTTTGTATTGTCTGTGATTGGCTAATATCCAATATGTGTCCCATTGTTCCATTAGGTTCCCTAGGAGAGTGTCCAACTGGTGGACACTTGCATAAATACCGGGCAGGTAGCCCTCAATAAACCAGACCTACTTGCACCTTTCTTGAAGCCTTGGCTCATGCTTGGGTGTGCACTCTGGGGATTGCTATTATCACTTACTCCCCAGAGTAAGCCCCTGTAAGAGCTTGATTTGTTCCTGCTACGCTCTCTGGATTTAGGAGAGGTTCACCCACTGGGAGCTGCATCCTGGTTGTGGATCCAGGGTGTGTGAGAGACAGCGAGACTCCCGCGCAGCTGCATCGCTGGAAGTGGGGTCCGCAGTGCTGATGGTGCTGTGCTCGGAGTCCTCGGCAAGCGCTATGAGCATCGATTGGCGGAGGTACTCGGTTGGAGGGCCAGCGGTCCGTTACATATGGTGGCAGCGGTGGGATGGCGTCCTAGTGTGAGGTAGAGCAGCTCAGAGACACCGTTCGTGGATTTACAAATTGAGGGCAACGCTAGCACTTGTGCAGCACCCCTGGGAGCAGAGTTATCCAGCGATTTGGAGCAGACAAGTATGGAAGGCTCTGGCTCTGAAGATGATTGGCTGGCCAAGGTGAGGCAGCGAGTGGCCCAGTATGAGGATGATGTACCCATGGAGATATGCCAGGCAATCTGGTACCAGGTCATGGCCAAGCGAAACACAAGGAAGGACCGAGAATTCCGGCTGGCAAAAGAGAGAGAGTATGCTCAGCGGAAGGAGTGTTACAGCAGCCAAGTAGAGGCTGCATCCGAGGAGGTTAGCCGTCTTCCCCTGAGGCGGCCAGAGGAACCCGAAGTAAGGGTCCTCATAGACTGGTCCTGTGAGGAACCACAACAGGCAGGTGGAGATGGAACCAAGGTCTCTCCACCGGGCCCAACGGGATGCTGGGCAGCCGGCCCAGATCCCCAGCAGCAGCCAGAGTTACCGGGTGCGGAAGCTTGTGGTCCTTACTTGCAAATGTTGAGGGACCTCACAGACGTGTCTGGCAATCAGTCCTCTCCAATGCCCAGTGGCGAGGTCGGTTTCACCACAGATGGCAGGTGGAGATGGGACTGCGGTCTCTCTACCGGCCCTACATGGATGCTGGGCGGTCGGCCCAGATCCCCAGCAGCAGTATGTATAACAGGGAGCTGAAAGTGCCGTCCTTCCTTCCCAGCGGCAGAGTGTGTCCTTAGGAGAGGAGAAAGTTAGGCCCTCTCCCCAGCAGTCCAGTGAGTCCCAGGGAGCCGAAGGTGCCGTCCTTCCTCCCCAGTGGCAGTATGTGTCACAGGGAGCTGAAGGTGTCGTCCTTCCTCCCCAGCGAGCGGCAGAGTGTGTTCTTAGGATAGGAGACAGTTGTTCCCTTTCCCCAGCAGTCCAGTGAGTCACAGGGAGCCGAAGGTGCCGTCCTTCCTCCCCAGCGGCAGTGTATCCTGCAGGGAGCAGAGACAGTCGGTCTCGCTCCCCAGCAGCGGGACAATATATTGAAAGGGGAGACAGTCAGTCCCCCTCTCCACCAGCAGAGAGAGTGTCAGGGAGAGGAGCCTGTTACCCCCTCTTCCCGGCGGCTGAAAGTGTGTAAGGGAGAGGAGCGCAGCGTAGCCCACCAACGGGAGACACTAAGCTCCCCACCGGCGCAGTTGGGACCGTGGTCTCTGCACCCAAGCTACAGGGAGTATGGACAGTCGGTCCTGCTCCCCAGTGGCAGAGTACTCTACCGGGAGGGGAGAGCCTTGTTCCCCCTCCCCAGCGGCAGCCTAGCCCACACCGGTGCAGATGGGAACATGGTCTCTGTGCCCAAACCACAAGGGGTAGGGACGGTCGGTCCTGTCCCCCAGCAGCAGGGCTGTTTATCCAAAGGGGAGACAGCCTGTCTTCCCCTCCAGCAGCAACACCAGGTCCAGAGGGAGGAGCCTACTAACCCTTCTCCTCAGCTGGGCTCCAACCAGGCTACTCCAAGGCTGCCCACTCAGCAACCCACCAATCCAGAAGGCTAGTACCCCCCTGGATCCATGGTGGAGCCCCTGGACATGAACAAGCTACCCACTACCCCAGGTGCAGTAACCAATTCTTGTGGGTGGGCCACTCGGTTGATTATGTTTTGTGGGTGGGTTGCTGGACTAACCAAGGCACTGACCGACAGGAGGTCAGATACCTTGTTAGTCTTTTTGGGAAAGGGGAGAAATGTGGCGAAACCGACCTCGACACTGGGCATTGGAGAGGACTGATTGCCAGCCTCCTGCCATGTGACTATGGCCCCTGGGATGTATTGCCCTTTAAAGACATTATTTGGGCTTATTGGATTTTGAAACACTTTTTCTGCCCCTTTGAATACATGGGAAGGTGTGCCCCTCCCCCGTTTCCTGTCTATTGTTCTCAAGCAGGGTGTTGTCACTGCCAGACCAGTTGGAACTTGTTGCTATGGTTTAACCCCATGGTGATTTGACTGTGTATGTGATATAGTGAGCGCTCAGATCTAAGCTATCTGGGGATAGGTTGGATGTGGGGGTTAAGTATAATAGGAATTATGTATTTTTATGTGTTTTTACTGTTGTTGTGAATAGAGCTATTTTCTGTATGCTGGAGGTAATTGGCTTACCACACCCAAGCCATGCTTGCAGGAGGTCACAAAGGGATTTCCAACTAACTTTTGACCCACTGGACCAATTTGTATGATTTTGACGTATGTTTGTATTTGTTATTTGAGTATGCTGATTCTGAAAATGTAAGTTTTATGTGAATGTGATGTATACTTTTAGTGTTATGAATATTGTGTAAAACTGTGTATTTTCCTGCCTGTGATAATTACATTGTGAGACCATTGTGTTCAGTAATTATATCACAGGGGAGTATTTTGTGTGGGAGTGTCTGAGTGTATTGTATGTATTGATTGGTTGTTCTGCAAAACCCTGTGGGCAGTACTATGTGTGTAAAATGTACATAAAAGCAGAGTGTTTGATTAAAAGCTTCAGTTCTACTTAACCCTCAATTTGGAGTGCAGTCTCTTATTGGGGGAATCTGCTACAAGGGATTGCTATGCTCTGCATACTCTCTTGCTATATTTACTGCTAAGCTCTTGTAAGAGCTTGTTCCTGTTTTGCTCTCTGGAGGAGTCTTCAGTGGTTATGGTGTCTGCTGCAGTGTTTGGAGTCCTCAGAAAGCGCTAGGAGCATCCATCAATGGAGGTACCCAGTCGGGGTGCCAGGTGATCCGTTACAAGGAGCACATAAGAAACACATAAAATGGACAAGAAAACAGTGTCTCCCTCCATTTTAAGGAATTCCATAATAAGGGAATCATTATCTTAAATTTCTTATAATCGAACAAATTATGGGAGATTGGAAGGTAGGGAATTTTAACAAGAAAATTGCTAAAAAAAAAAAAAAAGAGATGGAATGGATTTTTTTATTTAAATTCACTTGCCACATATGGTCTTAAAGGACCACTATAGGCACCCAGACCACTTCAGCTCAATGAAGTGGTCTGTGTGCCAGGTCACTCTAGGGTTAACCCTGCCTGCTGTAAACTTAGCAGTTTCAGAGAAACTGCTATGTTTACATATGGGTTAATCCCATATGGGTTAATTGGTCTTTCCTTAACCAATTTGCATGCTCTAACTCCTCTTCTTCTGAAGGTCTCCCTCTCTTCCCTCCTACTGTTTTCCATGTGTCTTCTTTGTTCTTTTCCAAATGATAGCCTTGCTGAAAAAAAAGTCATTATTGCCATCTATTTCCCTCAACCTCTCGTATTGATTAGTCAGAGTGGTTGAGTGTGTTGGGATTTCCATTTCTTTTCTTATTCTTTGTTCTCTCTCATTTTCATATCTCGGTCTAATCCCCTGCCGATCTCATCCTCTTGTGAGAAAGGGGACTGTGTGTCTTTATGTCCATCCCCCCTTATTGCTGTTGACCTTTCTATTCTTTCTCTCAAATGCTCTCTAGTTCTCTTTTCTCTCTCTAAATCTTTCCTTCTATATTCCTCTTTTTTTGCTATTTCTCTTTGTCTTCTTTCACGTTCCTCCATGAGGTAGTGTTTTCTGTCTCTCTCTCTTCTTTCTTCAGAGTTTAATACAGTCTGGAAATTTCTTCTTCTTAGTGTGTGTTGTTCTTCCCTAGCTAGTGGTCTTCCTTCTCTTTTTCTGATGTTGCCACTTTTATAGTCCTGCACATCTCTCTGGTATTTTCTCTTTTTAACCTGTATGACCTCTTTCTCCACTTTCTCTACATTCATTTGAATCTGTCTCAAGATTTCCTCCAATTCATCTGCTGTTAAGATTTATTTTAATTCAGTGTGTTTATTTCCTATGACTTTATCTAATTTTTCAAGATGGTACTGTCTTCTTCTAATTATTAAATCCATCAGCCCAAATGAGAAGCTTTCCAGTTTTTGGTGCCATTCCGTCATAAACTCCTCTTCCTCCCTATCAAAAGTGGGAGTTTTGGAGAATCTGAGTCCTCCTAGGGTTTTTTTCTCCCTTAAATGACCACTATAGGCACCCAGACCACTTCAGCTTAATGAAGTGGTCTGGGTGCCAGGTCCATCTAGGATTAACCCTGCCTGCTGTAAACATAACAGTTTCAGAGAAACTGCTATGTTTACATATGGGTTAATCCAGCCTCTAGTGGCTGTCTCATTGACAGCCGCTAGAAGCGCTTCCACGCTTCTCACTGTGATTTTCACAGTGAGAAGATGCCAGCGTCCATAGGAAAGCATTGCTCTTGCCGTGCATGCGCATTCAGCTGATGACGCCTGAAGGAGGAGGAGAGTCCCCTGCACCAAGGGAGCCCGGCGCCTGAGAAAGGTGAGTGTTTAACCCCCTTCCTTCCCCCTTCAGCACGGCGGGTGTGGGACCCTGAGGGTGGGGGCTCCCTCAGGTCACTTTAGTGCCAGGAAAAGGAGTCTGTTTTCCTGGTACTATAGTGGTCCTTTAAATACTTTTCCATTGTTGCAACTTCCAAATTTATTTTAGTCTCAATTTCTCCAATTCAAATTGTTTATCTTTTACTCCTATTTCTAATCTTATGTCTGTTCTTGTATTATCTCTCTGAAAAATGTCTTAAATAATAAGAAAAGGTTAAATAATTTAAAAAATCTAGTGTCAGTGTGTGTGTGTGTATAAGGGCGCTTAAAGAGGTTTTTCAATGATTTCTTCAATTTTTTGTTAAATAAATGTCCTTAGCTGCTGACTACTACTTAGTGTAAAACCTTTAAACACTTTAAAACATACAGAAATAGTGAAATTGTAGTATAGCAATTAAAAAGTTCAAAGAACAGATAAACCAAAAAATGTGCAAAATATTGCTCATAAAGTGTCTGGTTACCCGTATCAATCTTCACAAAACACTCTTTTGAAATATGCAGATTAGAGTGTACCCTTAAAAAACATTAGAACATGTGATATAACATTTTCTAAGGTGCTTAGTGTACTTATGGGGAAAAACTTTTTAGGTGCAAATCTATAAACACGTTACAAACGTATCCTTTGTGACAAAAGTTCCAATCAATTCAATTTCTGTGTCCATATCAAATTTATAAATACTTAGCAGCAGTTCTCTGGATGAAGAATACCTCAAGAACATAAGAATAGAAAAACAAACAATAGTGAAGACAGTTTTAAACAGTATATGGGGTAACTTTCAAATTTTCCCCTTAGACCTCTACTCACATTTACTAGAGCCTAAAACTTGGCTCTAGTTTGTGCGCCTTAGAGTCTCTCTTATGGGGGGACACCTTTCCTCTTGTGTCTGATAAACACAATCTCACGTAGTATATCAAAATAACGTCAAAGAATGAAAATATATCAAATTCAGCCATGGTGCAGTGGACCGGCTCTGCTGGAGGTAATTTCGTTGCTGAATCACGGACACATGATCAAAAACCTAGTCACAGTTTCTTCTACAGGATACACAGTCACACACAGAGTCAGATACAACACACATGATCATAGGCACACAGTCACAAGTCGCTAACATTGTCACAGTCGTTGTTACAAGGACACACAGTTACAGTCACACATACACCATTACAGACACACACTCATAGTTACAGGCACACACACAGAGAGTAACAGGCACACATTCAAACAGTTGCAGGCACATGCACACACACCAAAACAGTCATCTTCTGGGTTCTTCCTTTATGTGCATGGTTGGTGGAGGAGGAACAGAGGTTGGAGTACATTCTCTTATGTCTCTGCTTCCCCCAGGCTGGTAGAGCCGCTGCTGCTTCAGTGGGAGTGCGACGCTCCTCTCCATCTGGGGTCAAGGGCACATGTTCCCTGAGCCCCCCAAGTTTTACCGTGGCATGTGTCCATCAAGCTTAGCATTTCTCACATTTGTTTTGGCAGTTGATCCCAAAGAAGGCAAAAAAAAAACAGGTCGAAGCCTTTTCCAATTTTGCAACAAACTAGTAAAAAAAAAAATTCATATTAAATTGTGTCATCTGCAAACACTGAAACAGGAGGTTACATTTTTATTTCAACAAGAAGTATAAATATATCTAATAGAAGCAGTCCCAGAAGTGATGCTTAAGGGACACCACTTACCACTTAAGTCCAGTTTGAAAATGTACCAATGATGTCAACTCTCTGTACTCTATCTTTAAGCCAATGTTCTACTCAAGAATTTTTTTTTTCATCTAGAGCAATTTCTTTTAGTTTGAAAGCTAACCTGTTATGTGGAACTATTAAATGCCTTGGCAAAATCCAAGTAGATCACATCCACTGCAACACCCTGATCTATACTTCTGCTTACTTCTTTGTATAATGCAATTAAGTTACTTTGACATGACATATGTTTTATAAAAACCATGCTAAGTTTTGCTAATAACAATGTTATTCCCAATAAATTCCTCAGAATTACCCCTTAATAACCTTTCAAATACTTTCCCAGCCAGAAAAGTTAAGCTCACAGGTCTATACTTTCCAAGCAAATATTGTAAACAGTTTTTGAATATAGGAACCATATCTGCCTTTGTCCAATCCTCCGGTAAAATTCCTGAAAGCTCCTTAAGTCCTCATGGGTAAATAATGTCATACCATAGTGATTTGTTTACAATAGCTAATTGCTGTAGCACCTTGTCTTGTGTCATCTAATCACAATTTCTCTGCAAGGTTTTTGCAGTAATCATTTGTATATATATATATGTGTATGTATATATATATATATATATATATATATATATATATATATATATATATATATATATATATATGATCCTCCTTAATATTTATACAGAGGAAATATACTTATTTAAAATGTCTGCCTTTCCTGGTCTTCATTAACAGACACAACACCCAGTGTACCAACACTTTAATTTTTTTTATTTTTTCAGAATTAATGTACTTAAATCTTTTTACGTGGTTGGTTTTGCTCTCTTTGTCTTTCACTTTATCATTTTCTAGTTTAGCCCATCTAATCCCCTTTTCCTTACATCTTATATAGGATGCCTCTAATTTGTTTGATTTCAAAATGTAGATGCCCTTTTCTTAGTTTTAATTTCTTGGTTTAATTTCCCACTTAGCCACATTGATTTCAGCTTGTTTCTTTTATATTTATTACTCTGTGGTATTCTAGTGAGATGTGCACCTTTCTAATATTTGTTTGAAGATATTCCATTATCACCAATGTTTTTTTCACTTAACTGTTTATGCCAGTCAATATGTTGTAAAGCTGCAATAATATTATTTTCATTTTTAAAATGATTTGTTTTAGTATACCCAAATATACTAAAACAAAGCGTGTGTCCTC